AATATACATGAGATGCGTCTGCATCTGGATTCTGTATACGTGGAAGGACAAGAGACAACATTTTTGATGAGAGAGCAGGAAAAACAGGGACGAGAGGGGAAGGATCTCGTGGGTTGACGGATTGACAATTTTGTGCGGGGGAGAGAGGGATTGGTAATTTTGTGCAATAGAGAGAGAGGATGGGGGGAGGAGTCAGTCAGCCGTCGTCACGTAACCCTGCTTCCAAATGACCCTGCATTCTCTAGCATGGTGTGGTCGCCGTCTTCGATCTGCTCATTGCCCGCTTTGAAGATTGAGGTGTTGTGCATGTTGGGGTGCAAAGAAGCACAAGCGAGAGTGGTCGCCGTATAACCTTGGATGGGGATGAATTGTGTGCTCGGGGGAGTGTGTGTGTGTGTGTTGTGCTGCGTGTCTCTCTGTGTGTGTGTGTGTGTGTGTGTGTGCAGGGGCCGGGTGAGGGTGTCAAAATGTGTGTGTTGATGCATGTGTTGCATGCGACCGTGCGAGGGACGTAGAAATCGAGAGAGATGATTGTTGTGTTATGGATGCTCCTCTCTCTGTCTCTCTCTCTCCCTCTCTCTCTCTCTCTCACACACACACACACACAAGTAAACTAGAAGACCGTTCTCTCATGTATACACAACGTATCGGCATCTGTCTATGTCTCACTCATACACGATCATTTGCACATTCACACCTCTCTATGTCTGTATCACACGCACACCGTCTCCACATTGCCCTTCCGCCACAACACACATATGGACACATACACACGTTCTCTCTCAGTCACACACACAAAATCAGTATTAAAAAAACTAGGGCGCACCTAAAATGTCCAAATCCAAATAAACACGAACTGGAGCTAAATTCAAATATATGGAAATATTGCAGCGTCAAGAACTTTCAGAGGAAAAAAAAGTGGAGTAATATTCGAGGATTGTTTTCACACACACAAAAAGGTTCGATGGATGTCCTTCGAGCGCGACACGCTGACGCACCGTTCGATCGACCACGCGGCCGCGGTTCATGCCCTTGCACAGGATTCCGTATCATGGCCGTGGTACTAAGGCTGGTCACAATGGGCAAGAACATAAGCTAGTAACTAATAAAAGCGCTGCCTAAGTCTAATGTTTACGTATACTAGTACGGTTTTCTTTTAAGTTTGACCAACCTTATATATAAAACTAAAGTAAGCTCCCACACGCGCACTCATCAATATGCCGCCGCCGCCGTTGCGCATGCCGGTGCCCGCCTGCTCCGGCCAACAATTTCTCGCCCATCACCGTCGTGTCGCCGCCATCCCTGTGCCATGAAGCCGAAGGCTCACCCGCTCACGTCATCTGCAGTCCCTCCTCGTGATGCCGCCGTGCTACCAAGCACGCGATCAGCTGGTGGAGCCGCGTCTATGCACGCAGCGTACGAAGAGGAGGACGAGCGCGTGCTCCAGCACGCCGGCGAGGAGGAACTAGCGTGTCATTGTCGTCTCCGCCCGTGCGGAGGAGGTGCGCATGGTGGCTGTCGCGGCGGAAGCCGGTCGCGCGTGCGTCGAGCCCGCAAACCGGGTGCGGACGCCGAATCTACCTTTGAGACCTTGAATGCCACGTGGATCCTGCAATCTGAAGGAGCAATTTGGGTCAGTCGGCTCATGTGAGCCGTTTGATGCAACATGGATGGCTAGAAGGGCTTCTTCCACCTCTTCTGTCATCTTCTTCCTTCGCTCCGTCGAACTTCTTTCACAAATCGACTGACCTAAATTATACTGCTAGTACAAACGTATTAAGTACAGTAGGAACACGAAGATACAAGCAGTAGTACCAACTACAAGAAGAACAGTAGTAAGACATAGTACTAGTACTACTGTACATACTAAAGAGTTCAAATAACGAGAAAGAACATAAACATAGTTCTGCTGGGGCCTCAGCACAACACACCCTTAAAAATAAACTAATAAGCAACTAGTCTGCTTGACACTGCAGTAGAACCAGCATGAGCGATGGCACTGCCACCTACTTGGAGTCCGAGTCCACATCCTCGACTTCGTCCTCGTCCCTCTTCCTCTTCCTCTTCACCGATGCTTCTTTGCTTGAACCGGACACTGGGCTCTGCTTCTTCATCTAACCCTTGTAGATATTTAAACAAAGGTAGGCATCCATTGCTGTGTATAGGATGTGATCTTGATCTAATGTCTTCGACTCCCATGCATGATGAAACTCGTGATGAGGTTTCTTCAGTTTAGCGTACGAAGGATCAATCATGGCTGCTGCCAGGGTCAGCATTGAAGGTTGAGAGGAGGACACCAGGCTTGCCTTCTGGAGATCGAAGGACTGGCCTACAACGAGACCTATCTGATGCAGGACGTCACTGTCGTTCTTAAAGCCTACAGTAACGAATTTCACTTTTTTGTCCTTGAGGAAGTTCTTAAAATCCTGGCACTCAACGTCGGCATGGCATATGTGGTAGACCAAGCAAACGTTATATACGCAAACCTGGATCACGGCGGGCTTCTTCCTCTCTTCATCCTTTAGATCCTTCTCTCGTCCCAGGACTATAGTGTACTCAACATCTAGCCCGGCGACCCACTCATCCGTTGAACTGTTGAACATGCGTAGGAAGCGAGCAAGCCATGCTTTCACCGTCTCAGATCCACGTGTGTAGATGACAATGAACTGATCGCCGGTGATGGCTCTAACTTGATACTCACGGTGACCATGGAGATTTGGGAGGCCATGGATTTTGGAGGAGGGTTAGGAGAAGTTGAACTATTGTACCCCACAAAAAAAACTAGGAGCGAACTAATGTGAAAGGACGGGACGACTGAGAGAAAACTGTTGTAAGGTAGAAGACGGGGATGAGTAGGGTGTGCGAACGGCGTGGGGTTGTTGGCTTGCCAGGTGGATAAACGGCTGCAAGCCCCCAAAGAGTTCTCGAGAACTATGCGGGACCCACTAGATGTCATGTCTACTAGACCCATATCGTAGGCCTGACGGTATAGCTTCTGCCTGTTTGCACGCCATGCCGGCGCGTGGATGTAACTTCACTTAATTTCGTCAAACGTCGCGCCTCCCACGACCTTCACCTCCCTCGTGTGGTCGCGCCCTTTGAGACTTCGACCAGCTATACATGAGCAATTTTTTTGCCTTTTTTTAGACAAGAAATTTTTTTTGCCTACTCCGCATGCAGAGTAAATTGCACAGAAGTACCACAATTGAGACATTGAAAACAGATTGATACCAAGATTGGTAATTTTTACGTGTCAGTACCAACTTTGGGGTGAACCGTTGCAAAAGGGACTAAAAGTGTTGTTTATACGTATTGACAGGCAAACTGACCGGTTGGGCCCACCCGTCAGGTGCCACCCTGGCGTACCCGCGCGCTGACTCGGACGAGCTGGGTCGCACCGTTTAGGCGCGGCTGGTGCGGCCTGAGCCTCCGTCTCCGTCTCCGTCTCGCCCGTCGCCACCGCCGACCGCCCGCGCCACCGCGAGCTTGAGGCACGCTCCTCCACGACCGCGGCCCCGCTCTGGTTACACAGGCACACCTTCCCGACCCCCGACCCGTCCCGCCGTGCCCGCCTCGCACTCTCCTCCATCCGCTTCCGCCGCGGCGCCAACTCCTCCTCCACTTCCTCCATCGACGCCGCAGCCTCCTCTGCCTTCGCCGCCGTGGCTACCCCCTGCCCCACCTCCTCTCCCCTTCCGCCGCCGCCTCCTCCTCATCCCCTTTCCCCTCGTTGTCAGCCCCCGCGTCCTGCCCCGCCACCGTCTCGGCGCCCCGCGCTGGTGCCCAGGTGGGATGGCCGTCGGCTCGCGCGTCACAGTGGTGGCGCTGGCACTTAGCAACATGGCATGAAAATATGGTTCTTAGCAAGAAACTTTACACATTGAGCTGAACATATGTGCTAAAGAAAGAGAGGTGTTCCTCTTGAGTACAAGTCAATATATCTTAATGATTCTATGAACTCCTGTTTTTATTTTCTGAGGAACTTGTCGGTCCTTGTGATTGGTGAGTAAGCGGAATGTACATTGAGCTAACATGATTCGCCAGTTGGTTGATATTACATTCCAATTTCTCGCATTTTCTGCAGCAATGGAAGCAGCTTCTATGGGCCAGGGGCAGTGAGCTGGTGTTCAAGTGTTTGCCAAGCTGTAGTTGCTGGAGCATGCGCTTCTGGATCAAGGGGAAGCTGGCTGTGGTGGCTGTTAGATATGGCACAAGTGAGTGCGGCTCTGCATCTGTAGGAAGTAGTTGTTCTGTAGTAACTTTGTATAGGCCGGGTTAAGGTAGGACCAATGCTGCCAGTCTTAGTATTTGTGTATGGAACTTCGTTTAGGAAGTTGTTCCGTAGTCAAAATTGATAAGGTTAGTTGTAATCGCCATGCTCAGATTTAGTTCATTTTGAACTAACCTCCTGTTTTTGCGGGCTTATGCGGACCTTTGCTTATGTGCTTGCAGTTTGTAGGAACTTTGTTTGGAAGTCGTTGCTTTCAATGCTTGCAGTATGTAGGAACTCTGTTTAAGAGGTTGTTGCTTCCGTGCTTGCAATTTGTAAAGACTTCTAAGTTCAGCCAGTTTGTGATGTTGACAATGGTGGCACGAGCATGTCGCACATCTTCAACCGGCAGTCTGCGACATTCATACTTCTTAGAACAATCAGACATGCAGGTGGAATCGACAATGCACAGGAGCAGCTCTGAACACACAAAATGATTTACCCGAAACATCTAATATGTATATATAAGAACAGCCGGTATACAAGTGAGATCAACAGAGCTGTTATAGTTCCTAGGTCAAAAACAATTGACACATGTACATGGTGTCAGCATCTAGCTAGTGTCAGAATCAGCAGCTGAATTAACCAGCCACTGACCAAAAGAATGAGCGAATTACGCAAGCTAATTCTCCAGAGATCCTCCAAATCAAGATCAAACTCGAACTCATCCTTGCTGTTTGATTCTCCAGAGAGCCGGGTACTGCTTTTCAATTAACAAGCAGTCTCATTGTCATCTGGCATTGCAGCATTGAGCACTCCCGGACTGCGGCTTCCTCCACAGGCAGATTATGTGCTGCGGCGACTGGTAGTGCGCGGTGTAGTAGCCGTCAAAGCAGCCGGCCTGGAAGAACTTGACGTCGTGCGAATACTCCACTAGCTGGCGAGTCTTGTTGAACTTCTGAACCCAGATGCCCATGCTCACGTCTTCCATCTTGAACAACTGCAACAATCAGGGGGAAGAAGCACACCCGTTTGTTAGGCTTTTTAGACACACTACATAGATGTTTCAAAATCTAGTTACTGGCAAGGGGTGGTAATGACTTGGTAATGACTTACTCTCAGTGCCTGGTTGTCAAACTCGGATACGATGTACTCAGCTATTTCTGATGAAATCACATAGCCCGGTCCGTTTGCATAAGGTGGATACACTTCCTCTTCCCATTCCTGAAAAGGGGCAGAAAATTACATCACACTCCTGTATGCAGCGTGAAATATATCACTACCTGGAGAAATTTGCCACAATTATGACACGTACTTTTTTTCTGAAAAGAAATATCATACTCTAATACCACTACCAGGTATTGTAAAATATAACACCCTGTGTTGATAGGTTGATCAATAATTCATTTGCAAGCATAATCATAGTTCGAGCTACCAAGTAAACCCATGCTTACTTTAAGAAAGGCAGAGACAAGCATGAACGCACTAAAACATGACACTGGAAATGGGAGCTAACATATATGACCCGTAAAGCATTAATATGCTGAATAATGGAAGTCAAGTCACACCAATGCAGGAATTTGCATGGCCCAACACAAGGATTCTCTGCTTCCATGAAAGGCACTAGAACAATGTCACCAAAGAACTCTGCTTCCTTCTTCAGCTCTTCATTGACCTCTTTTTTCCCATTCTATAAAGAAGTTTTCTATTAGAGTTTGCAAAGTCAGCAATATAACTATAAAATGTAGCAATCATCCACAGGTACTTACCAGAGCGACAAAGAACCGGGCAACACTGTTAGACGATTTCCTTGTAGCAATCATCCATGACTTGCGAACGGCCGTCCGCTTGGCGAAATGGTTGGCTGCAGAAAGGATACCAATGAACAGCTTGACAGGTTCAGTCGGCAGAGGTGAGCCCTTCCACTGTGCAGACATTTCAAGGTATCGCTATGGGTCGAAGCTAGGGTGTGATTTGGGCAGATGGGCGACAGAAATCGACTTGATGTCAAGGCCTCTGTTCAACGACAGGCCCGTTGCGTCCTCGATGTTGTAACCCTGTTAAATCCACAGATTGACAGCCCATCAGATAACAGGTTCTCCATCGATGATATACTATGTAAGTAACCAACGAGCAATGTCTGCAGAGGCATGGCAAAAATCTTACAGTGCGGTAAGGGAAGAATGCAATATGTTGCTCATTGACATTGACATGGTAGCCTTCGAGACCGGCTGTGATGGTTAGGACAAAGAGCTTGCCCTCTGTAAAGGGGTATGCCTGATCGACAGAGACCCTGTCTGGCTCCGGCCTGCCGATCAAATTGTTGAGCAGCCACTTTATGTTTGACGATTCCTCTGTGTTGGGGCCATCATCCCGAGTCCATTTCTCACACTTGACTTCCCCATCAACTGAAATTGGAACCAATAGCAAGCAAATTCTGTGATGAAATTTGTGTTGGTTTTAACGAACAAATAGCTTCAAAATTAAGATACCACTATTAAATTTCTTAGCGAACGACGAGGAAAAAGCAAGATTGAACTGTGGAATCAAAGGAGCTCACCCCTATCCTCGTCGGGCCGGGACGCCGGTCCCTCGCAGCGCTGCAGCAGTGCCCACTGCATGCGGTAGCAGGTGTTGAGCTCGATGACGGGACGGCCGCTGAAGTCGCCTCTGATCCTGGGGTTGAAGTGGAGTATCCTGGGCGGCTCCTCCCCGTGGACGGCCTTGGTGCTGAGCAGCTCCACAATGAACTGCGACGACGCCGCCCCGTCCCTCCTCGTCGGCCAGGCCACCACCGTGACGCGCGAGCCGACGGCCATCCCGCACGGCAGCTCCATGGCCACCTGGGCGCCAGCGCGGGGCGCCGAGACGGTGGCGGGGCAGGACACGGGGGCTGACAGCGAGGGGAAAGGGGATGAGGAGGAGGCGGCGGCGGAAGGGGAGAGGAGGTGGGGCAGGGGGTAGCCACAGCCTGCGGCGTCGATGGAGGAAGCGGAGGAGGAGTTGGCACCGCGGCGGAAGCGGATGGAGGAGAGCGCGAGGCGGGCGCGGCCGGGAGGGTCGGGGGTCGGGAAGGTGCGCGTGTGTGGCCGGAGTGGGGCCGCGGTCGTGGAGGAGCGTGCCTCGAGCTCGCGGCGGCGCGGGCGGTCGGCGGTGGCAACGGGCGAGACGGAGACGGAGACGGAGGCTCGGGCCGCACCAGCCGCGCCTAAACGGTGCGACCCAGCTCGTCCGAGTCAGCGCGCGGGTACGCCAGGGTGGCACCTGACGGGCGGGCCCAACCGGTCATTTTGCCTGTCAATACGTATAAACAACACTTTTAGTCCCTTTTGCAACGGTTCACCCCAAAGTTGGTACTGACACGTAAAAATTATCAATCTTGGTATCAATCTGCTTCCAATGCCTCAATTGTGGTACTTCTGTGCAATTTACTCCCGCATGCATGATACTCCCTCTGGTCCTTTTTACTCCCGTCAACCATTTGCAAATTGTTTGAACAAATTTATACTTTTTTTGAACACCACCTTATATTAATTAACCAGCCACACCAGTACACTCATTCGATACAATATTCACCACACAGGGCGGTACGTTATTTACAAGAATATCATCTAATCTATTGTCAAAGCTATACTTAGCGATTAAGTGTGCCACCTTATTGACCGAACGGCTAATCTTTGACAATTGAAGATTGTTGATCAACTTCGAGATGCTCAACGCTTTCATCTTCAGGTCACGCATAGCAGACCTGTCAACGCTTTGACAGGCATCAATGAAATCCCATGACCAAATTTATACTAAAAAAATCAATATCTACAATACTCCCAAAACACTTAGGCACGATGCATTAACTTCTACCTCGTTTTTTGTTTTTTGACATATCAACCAAGAGGAGATGTGGGTGTGCATGCTTTTAATGACTTGAGACTACCAAACACGACATGCAGTGGTTAGTTCATTGCATACAATGCTATTAATTAGCAAATAAACATTAAGATCTATCGTTTTCCCCTCCTCGTTGGTCACAGTGCACAATCTAAGATGACTTGCTCGCCTAGACAGACGGAGTACTGATTATAATGAGTACTCCCTCCTTCCATCTATATAGGGCCTAATGCATTTTTCAAGACCGCCTTTGACTATTGATAAAATTAATACTACATGGCATGCATAATGTGAAAATTATATCATTGAAAGCTCCTTTCACATACGAATTTGATGATGTGCTTTGTGCAAGTTGCATGTCATATATTATTGCTCTAACATTTGGTCAAAGTTAGCCTCGAAAAACGCATTAGGCCATATATAGATTGAAGGAGGGAGTATAAGAACTACGTTTTATAATGAGTGTAAAAATATTGATTTGACATTGTGAATGTTGACACATTGTGGAATAGTTTTTGAAGTCTGTAAAAGTACTCAACTAGTGCTGTCGTTCTCCACAAAAAAATGTGTTCACCAATGCATGCACGAACTCTAGTTACTCTAACCCCCCCTCTCTTCTTTAATTTTTTGCCACATCAGCATGTTTGCTATTCCCGTGTGCATGATACCAGCTAAGATACCACCATTATGGCCAGCCTTAATCATCGCATGCAATAATTTAGTGCACCTTGAAATATGAACATGTGTGGGGCGTGTTTGTTTTTAATGACTTGAGACTATACCTAGACCGTCATGCAAGATGACTTATTATGCACCGTTCCCCATACCTGCAGGAAGCCCGTTCGTCTCCAATTTTTTTCCTCTTCATGTGTGGAAACAATATGCCTGCCAAACTCTCCTTCTCCCTTCGGCGGTCCCACCACTCCACCCCGTGTGAAAAAATCTGCATGCATGACTCTCCCCCCCCCACGCTCATCCAATCCGTTGTGACCAGCAATATTTCCACCCCTTCGCTCCCCCGTAATTTACTCCAACAAATATGCCCACGTAGCTGTTACTTAACTGCAGGTGCATTCGGTCACTGACATATGGGCCCAATAGGGGTCTGGCCCACATGTCAGTGACGCAACTGGACCAGCAGTTAAGTCAGTGCAGCTCAGTCCATATCTTACATAGGTGTGCCATTGCTCGCTATAAATACTGCGCCTCCCATGACATCGCTATCTCCTCCCCCTCACGTTCACATTCATCGCTATCTCCTCCCCCTCCCTCTCACGTCCACCACCATGGCATCACCCTCCAAGCCCTAGGAGCCCCTCGCTGCACCGCGCGGACGGTCACGTGCCGCTGTTTCGTTCCTCGCCGCCACTAGTTGAGGAGGACGCGTCGGTGTTCCGCTCCTCGCCGCCACTAGTCGAGGAGGACCCGTCGGCATTCCGCTCGTCGCCGCGACGCGTCGAGGTGGACGCATCGGTGTTCCCAATCTCGCCGGCACGCGCTCCGGAGGACGCGTCGGCTCCTCGCTACGAGGAGAACGCCGCACCGCCCGCCGAGCCCCCCAGCCTTGAGGAGCTTTGGAAAGAAATGGATGTCGCCTTGTGAGAGGGTTTGCCTCCAGCAGAGCGCACCAAAATAGAGACGAAGAAGAAGGCCGAGGAAGAGAAGCGCACCGCAGAACAAGCTGCCTGGGAGGCCTATGTCGCATCCGAGAAAGTCAGGCAATTGGCTCTTTGGCAGAAGGCTCGTGCGAGGGCCGTGAGGGTGGTGGAGGACGCCCATGCCGACGCCCTGAGTGCAGTGGGGCCCAAGCGCCTCATCTACGCTTGGTGGTCCGTGGACCGGGTGCACGCTTCCAGCGAGGAGGAGTACCTGTTGGCGCCGGCTCACCACAACGGTGAGATCGCGCTCGCCCGCCGGCAAGCCGCCAATTAGCACCTCACGAGTTGCGAGGCTGAGGAAGAGGCGTTGTGTTGGCGCGCTGGGAAACGGCCGCGCACCAGGGAACTCGTGGCGCGCCGCAAGCGCTCTTGCGAGTGCCGTGGCTTTTAGGAGGAGTATATTTTTTGTTTTGTAAGTCGATCTCATTAGTTTTGGGACGCAAATGATAAATCCCGAACGTTCAGGAATTCTTAGCATCATTAATTAAGTATGTAAAAGGGAAAGTTTGGAAACCTTGTGTATTCGTACGCATTTTGCAAGTACATGCATATAGCACAAACTTTACTATATACTATCACAGGAAAAGAATTCTATGAGAGATTAGATGCTTTGTGATTTGTGAATGCCACGTGTCATCCATCAGGACGGGTCTCACCTGCTAACCGTGAGACCTAGTCTCATATAATTTTTTCCCACTATCGCACTACACGTCTCTCTCGATATGTGCTTGCAGACTATGCTACTCCCTCCGTCCAGGTCAATAAGTCATCTTTGGTTGTGTACCATGACCAAGAAGGAGGGAAGACTACTTATACACCTAGACGGAGGGAGCACTACTATTACTTATGTACTCCCTCCGTCCGAAAATACTTGTCATCAAAAAGAACAAAAAGGGATGTATCTAGACGTATTTTAGTTCTAGATGCATCCCTTTTTATCCATTTTGATGACAAGTATTTTTGGACGGAGGGAGTACGTACAAATGCACGTTTTAACATTACGATGCGGTTTTTGTAGAAGTAGAAAAAGAGCACTAGTCAAGCTTGTGAAACGATTCAATGCAAAACAAATGCAAAAATTCTCATTTGATTGTTTACTTTTAGCTTCCTTCTCTGTGGTTATTCCTCTGTCGTACTTTGTACGGAGTATCTCACTGGTTGGAAAGGCATGCAAATTCACAAACCGCTTCCTACACCCTGTATATCACTGGTTGCCGGCGTTGACGTTGTCGCCCGTGTCGTCGAGGATGAGGTTGCCGAGGTCGGGGAAGAAGTCGTTGTTCGCAACTAATCATGTGGACTAGCATAGTAGTAGGATACAGAGTAGAAACATGAATTTTACCATGATTTCGAACGGGAAGGACAGAAACACATACGGTGCAACGGGAGCAGCA